TGCTACTTAACTCACTGTACATGTCAAAAGATCCAACTATTTCGTTATACTGCTTGAATTTTTGTTTATTTGTAAGCCTCCGGCGTTTTTTTCCAATTAAGTTTGAGGCTGATGTTTCTGCATTGAATTCAATCTCAGGCTCTATAGTTTTATGAGAAAATTCATTTATTTCTACTTGTTGAGTTTGAAAGTGAGTGTGATACTCTGGGGCTGATGGAGTCAAGTTATTCAAACTCGCTTCAAATAGAGCGTCTTCTGTTAGTTTCATTACGCATGTTGAACACATAGATTCTGAAACGTCGAAAAATTCAGGACCGTATTTAACAAAAATTTCTTTTTTTGGTTCGCATAGGCTTTATGGTTCGGATTCGTACGAGAGAAGTATCCAAACTGGAGAAGTCGTACTCGCAATTGGGTTCGCAGTTAGAGTTAATGAACCTAACAGGTCCCAGCATCAAAAACAATTGAGAAGCGTCCCTGCTTTTTTGAATTATCGAAAGATCACTAGCGTCATTTTCAATAGGCCGCAGAAAACCTTTCGGACCATCGGTGAGAACAATTTTACTTCTCTATGTTGCTGTCCCTCTATACACAAGTCTGTATCCAACGTAACTATCATGATCAATTTTGAATTGACTACCGAGTTTTTTAGGCATCCATCAACACTTCGTAACAGTTTTTCCTCAACGTTTGATCTTTAATGCGCTGTCGAAGTTTTCGTTCTGATTGAAGACGACTAGCAACTTGAGCTGGTCGACCAGCGGTTTCAAAGAATTCCTTTACATTTCGCGCTTCACACTGCTCTAATATACCCCAGGTTATTTTTTCTCAAGTTCGACAGGCATTACAATTCATCTACAAAAAAAAGTATAAAGACAGCTGTTAAAAAACAACCAAGAGCAAAACACCTTCAGAAAAACTCGCACAAACATTCTGAGTTGGGAGCACAAAAATGCCGTTCAAAAAGCCGTGACCAATGGAAGTTCTATAGAAGCAGTGAACTGAATGATGAAACTAGTACTGCATCCTCAGAAAACTTCGCAAGCAATTGAGGATAGGAATTTAAAAATTGCCTTTGCATAAAACATTAATCCCATTCTATGGTAGCTGGAAAAATACGAAGAAGTTAGTATATCACCTTGGGAAAGTTTCACACAAACATTTTAAGAAGGGAAAAAGGCGTTTTTAAGCACTTTTTGGAAAATTTTGACCAAAAAATCACATTTCTTCGGCGCGCGCTCCCCCTCAAAATTAGTATATATTAGCCCCGAAGGAGCCTTTAGAAAGTTTGGGTCGGCAGGGGTCGAATCCTTGGGGGGAGGCGTCCGCCCCTCCATACAGACACCACCCCCCCCCCCCCCCTCCCTTCTAGTAACAAAATCTTTTGAATCATTTGATAGTTTGATTAATATGTGTTTTTAGCTTCTCCGTCAAACTTGGTCTAGAGATGATAATTGCGCTTGAGAAGGTTAAGGGCCTATGTTCGAATCCGACTAGGACCTGTTTTAACTAAAAATTTTCAGTTTCAAAAAATTATTGACCAATCACTGGCCTTCTTACGTTTCTTAGCCACCTAATCGTTTTTTCTTGTTCAGTAAGCTATTTTTAAAATTGTTTTTGATTAAATCTTGTCATTTGCACTTCTATTAACACTTTGTATAACTGGTTTTTTTGTTTTGCTTCAAAGTTTCTTTCAGTCTAAATGGTTTCGACTTGTTTTATCGGCTTAGTAACCTTATTTTTAGTCTTTTGTTGGGAACATACATGCTCACCGTTTTGTGTGTTTATGGAGAGCCAAGGGTGTCAAAATTTAGAGTTTCCGAACTTTATGAAAGTTTCTCATGACAACATTTTTATTGTATTGGACTCGACGGACGTTTAACCAAGTGCCGTCGGCTTAGTTGCCTCTTGAAAGACGTTTCTGAATACTAATTTAAGGCCAGCAGTTGTGTTGCTGGAACTCTTTTACTTGAACTGAACAACATACGAAGCAAGTTTTTGCAAATTTCTGTAGCTAAGGTTTTTTTGACGATTTTACAGTTTTTTTTCTTCGTCTTGGTGGCTTTCACTTCGTTCCTGTCTGCTTATGTTGTTGTTGTTGCTATTTTCCTGTCTGCTAGCTCGGAATGCTATGTTTGTTTGGTATCGCATGTTTTGCGAAGCCCCGCTTAGCATATGTGTCAATATATGAGCAAGAAGAACCTCTCACATACCTCTTCTGCAGACTTCACGCTACCGTACTTAAGTCTTTTTATGCGATATTGGAACAATCTTTTGTATCCAGCGTAGATTTTCTATGTCTTCTCGACGACTGACAGAAACAAGGCTCATTTATTATTGTTTTTCTTTGTCTTTTAGCTCTTGCAATTATTAAACTATTTAAAATTTTATATTAAGCTGTTAATATCGATTTCTTCACACGATTCGTCAAATACGAGTAATAAAATTTCCAGATAGAAACAAAATTTGGGATTTTTCTATTTATTTATTTAGTTTATTCAACATTCTCTCATAAATTAGATGACTTTCTTTGAAAAGTATCTCCGTCACATTAGACTCGTGGACTGATTTTTCTGTAAAAACTAGGGAAAACTGATAACTGGCTAAATGAGTTAAGAATCAATATTGTGAAAACCTTAAATAATATCAGATAAATAATCTTCAGTAATGGATTTGTTTTTATATAAGTAACAGGCACCCTATCAGTTTCATCGACTTTCTTCATTTTTTTTATAATTACCAATCATTTTTTGAATTTCTGCTGACAGGTTAGTGCAGACTGGATCTCGCTGAGCTCAATGTTTTTGTTTAGGCAAAATGCTAGTTTGGGAAGGCAGACTTTTTGAGTGCAAACAAAAGATCAATCACTTGGATAAATTCTCGGAAGCAGGACATTTTTTCTGTAGCCACTTTTGCTGTTTCGTTCAGTCAGTTATTTAGTTCAATCAGTTGTTTTTTTTCTTGGCAGTGAACTTTCAGTTTTACTCGGCTGTTTATCCAAAATGTTTAAAGTATTCTACCCATGGCTGTTTCGCCTGTTGATATTTTATTGGACCCAACCCCGTTTTGGAAAGATGTGTTGAAACCTTGCGAAAACCTTGTGGGACCATCGGCGGATTAGCCTATTGCCTATTTCTTTTATTAGTAGACCTACAAAACATTAGATTTTTCGAAATTGAAAATATTCCTCGTGTGCCGTTCAAGTGCAGGACAAACTGGCTCTAAAAAGAGTATCTGCTCCGATATTGTTTTGTCCCGCAACCAATTTTCCAAAGGAAAAACTGTCGGCCGCAGGCCCTTGTTGATTCATGAGTTCAAAGGAGTAAAAATGAAATCGAAATTATTTTTGAATCGTTAAAGCAAAATCTTTTTAAAAAATGATTTGATTAGAAGTATTCCGAAACTAATCACACTTAAAACATGTTTTTAAGAGTCAATGAATGTTGAACGTAATTAAGACTCTTATATAGGTCGCGATTGTTTTTTTTTCAGGTGAAGTCTTAAAATTTATTGAAGCTCAATTTACTTATTCGCGTTTTGACTTTTGATTTCGCATCAAATTTAATTAACTTCCTTTGTTAAAAAAAGGCAAACTCCTTTAGTGAACAGCAAAAGGGTTAAGGTCACGAAACGCTTGATTTTCTTCTAGTTTTGAAAGTGGAATTTAATTTTCAGATTTTTCAGCGAAATGAAAAACTTACTTATGATCCAGTATTTTCACATTTTGTTAATTTTATCAAAAAAGAGCCAATCATAAATTGTTCTAGCTTTAAGGGCTTCTAAAAAACAAGTCAGTATTTTTTAAGAGTAATGAATGTAGTGAAGCCTCTTATATAGAACTTGCTGGTTTTTTTTTCAGGAAAAAGTCTTAAAATATTGATGCACTTAAGTATATATGCACTTTTTGAGTTCAATTGAAATTCATCTGTTGAAAGTGACGTAAATAGCCCTCTCCAAATACGAACGTGCAAATGGCGCAAAAATTCGTGAACGATTTCTAGTTTCAAAAGTGGAATTCACTTTTTAGATTTCCAGCGGATTAAAAACTTTACTTGTTGATCCATTTTTCTCAAGTTGGGTTAATGTCATCAAAAAAGCGCCAATCATAAATCGTTTTGAAAATTCAAAGAGCTTATATCGATTTATTTTGTCTTTGAAATTTGAAAGTTTTTTCAACAAAGTCAGTGTTTTTTATGTTTACTTGCGTTCATTGCTCTTTTCAAATCTTCGATTGGCTATGTTTCTGTTTACTTGCGTTCATTGACTCTTTTGCAAAAGTCTGTTGGGTATGTTTTTTTATTAGAGCGCATCTAAAATTATTACGAACCAATCAAAACTAACTAAATGTCTGAAGTGGCATTGATTAAGGTTTTTCTATTAGTAACTATGGTGCAGACTGCAGGGTGTTCTTTTTTTTCAAGACAATTTAGACTTCCTCGGAGAAAACCCACAGAAAATTAACTGAGGTATCATATTGGAACACTTTCAGTCGTTATTCTGCTTCTGAAGAAAACCTAGTTGAATTTTTCCAGAATCAGGTTCAAGTTTAGTGACTAGTGTGAATACTCAGAAGATTCTAAAGACTATTAATTCGAACGATCGGTGCAAGATTTTGCAAAAATGGGTTCATTTACCGTTGCAGACGCGCAGTTATTGATAATTTAAAATATGCTTGGCTTTTTGAGGAACAGGTGGGTTTTTGTGTATTCTTCTAATGTATTATTTTTCATTTTCAGGCAGAAAATGAGTTCTGTTAAAAGTAACAAAGTGTTCGTTGATGTTCCGTCTGAAGACGTGACCTTCAGGAAACTCGACATTGCTCTCAGAGACACAACGATTAAATGTGTCTCAGGATTGACAGTTGGAGGTGTTTATTCTCTGCTCTTTAAGCGCAAAAGATGGCCCCTTGTTTTGGGATTTGGAGTCGGATTAGGAATGGGAATTGCAAACTTACAACACAGTTTGAAACAGCCTCTGCCGAGAATTTATGAAACAACTGAATGAGAAAGTAAAGCTTCGGACTCGTTTATTAAAATTTTTGTAAGCTCTAATCAATTTGAGATAAATAATTCAAACATATGAAAATAGAACTTAATTCTTTTTGTTTCTGTGATATGAGATTATTGAAGCAGCAGCATTTGTGAGGCGAAAATCAGATAGAGATAGAGAGAGGGGGTTGTTGTTGAAATCTCGAGAATTCTGTTTACAGCTTGGGCAGCGAAATTTCGGCTGTAGATTGTTTATCTAGAACATCAAATTAGTTGGTTGCTCCTAAGTTCTTACAAAACTCAAAAAATTTTAATCTCACGAAGCTCAGAACTGAATTCGAAATATTAAGGAAACTGAAAAATATTAAATTACCTAAAATCTTACATACAGAATTGACCAGCAAATGAATCTTCTCCATGAGCTAAGCGGGTTTATTTAATTTTTCCTTAGGCCTATTCTCGAGAGTTTCGCTTAATTGCAAAAACTCGAGCTAATTGAGTGTTTGAGCAGTTCGCATCTTGTGCTAAAATCAAAAAGCGACGATGAATTATAAGTGAAGCAGAATAAATTCATCTATCATATCTTTGCTTCATTTGAATTTTCTAGCACATTTAACCGCCACTTATTGTGAAACTTTCTGTGAAACGTGGGTCGTTGGAATGTGCTCTACGGGAGAAGCCACCATGCCTAAAGGACCGAATGTCCAAAAATTATGATAGCCAATCAAAATTCAGTATTCAAAAATCTGAAAAGAAATAAGCTGATAACTCTTTAAAGAGCGTTGATTTTTTGAACATTTTTTCACCTATTCGGTATTTATGTGGTGGTATACACATGAAGATCTAGCATTTACCTGGCTTCACTCCGTTGTTCGCTGCCTTGTGCCTGGATAAACTCAAGTGGTGATTGTTGCTGTAGTTGTTTCTTGAGTTAATAGTTCCTGTCCCAACCCCACCCATGTTATTGTGACTACTCCCCGCATGTGCAGTGATGCTAGGAAGTGAGTGGGGCTTGAAAGTGGACGAGTGGCGACTGGTGAGCTGACTCTGGTTCTGTTTTCGCTTCTTGCGTCTGTAGTGTTCGCGTGCTTCGAACAGAAACGGGTGCTCCAATGCTTCTTGTGGATTCATGCGTTCGTTGGCGTCCCAGCTTAAATGCAAAACTTAATATATCCATCTATGTATATTTGTGTAAGTGTTTTTGGTGAATGGCAAGGAGATCGGTCTGATCTAGACAGTGAACTTAATAACTAGCTATACAAACAAATTGAAGGCATTTTGGCGGTAAACCAATAATTGTTTCACAACTTGCTTGCCTTAAATTGAACGAAACTAAGGCCAACTGCTGTAACAAATAGTGGGTCCCTATTCGGCTAATAATTATCTTCTAATTGTGGTGCCTTGCTAATTGGGTGTTTTTTATGATTTTTGCATTTTTTTTTTCGAAAAAGTTCGATGTAAAAAAACTACAAAAAAACTTCTCAAAGATTTACTGGGATGATGTCAGGGTAAGCTCAAGGGTTGCAAATCTTTCGTCCAAGAATAACTGCTCAAATCCTTTTGGTTTTTGAGAGTTGGCGTTTTTTATTATTATTTAAATAGTTTTTTCAAAAAACTTAGAAAAAAAAACGCTAACCGAACGACAAATCCTCAAACCTATAGTGGGGTTCTGTCAGGTTACTTTCAGAGATTGCAAATCTGCGTCCAAGTATGACTGCTGAAATTTTTTTGTTTTTTGAGATATGGCGTTTTTTTTCGAAAAACTTGGATAAAAAACTATTGAAGCTTGAAATTCTCAACCCTATAGTGGGGTTCTGTCTGGAGATACTCAGGGGTTTCAAATCTGGAGTCCAAGTATGTCTGCTCAGATTCTTTTGGTTTTCGAGATATGGCGTTTTTCTATGTTTTTTTCAAATTTTTTCAAAAAAAACTTAGATATAAAAAAAAACTAAACGATCTTGAAATTCTCAACCCTATAGTGAGGTGCTGTCAGAACAAACTCAGGAGTTTCAGAACTGGCGTTTAAATATGACTGCTCAAATCCTTTGTTTTGTCAAAAATACAAACTTGAAATTTCAACAGAAATTGAAGTTCTTAACCCTATGGTGGGATGCAGTCATGGGACAACATAGGTTAGCAAATCTGCCTTAAATTTTATCTGCTCTAATCTTTTTGGTTTTGAGATATGGCGATTTTCATGAAATAGAAACCTTTGATAGATGAGCCCTTTTTATCTTCACGATTGCATTAAATATGGCTGTTTTAGTACATGTTTTAGAAAGCTCCTATTACGTTCTACGATCTATTTGAAGCCCCGTATGTGCTAATCATGCGCTAGTTTTCTTCTAATTGGGGCCTTGCTCCTGCTTTGTATGCTTTACTGTCTCTCATGTTTGTCTAATAAATTCATGGTCTGGATTATGGTCTCCTTGTCATTCACCAGTTTTTTTTGTCTGTGATGTCATTTATTACTCTACTCCTAAACAGTTGAACCCACATGATTACTTATTTGCATAGTGATTGCTACCCATCGAGTGCAGGGCTATATTTTTTCAATTTGGGCTGGCAGATGCCAAAAAAGGGAAGAAAAAGGAAAACATAGCCAACTGGCAGCTGGAAAAGAGTAATGAACGCAAGGAAACTAAAAAAAATTGACTTGTTTTTTCAAAAACCTTCAACTTTTGAAATTCTAGGGAAAAAAGATGGTCTTGGAGCTCTTTGAATTTGTAGAACATTATATGACGGACCTTTTTTTTTAAAGTTAACCCAATTTGAGACAACTGGATCAATAGGCAAAACTTATTTCGCTGGGAACTCTGATAACTAATTTCCATTTTCGAAATTAGAAGTCGATCACGTTTTTCGGGACTCTTACACTTTTGCTGTTCGATAGTGGAGTTTGTCTTCCTTTTAACAATAGAAATGAATTGAACTTGAAACCGCAAAAAAAATCAAAATTGAGCGTGAACAAATTTTAAGACTTTATCCTGAAAAAAAAATCAGCAGGACCTGTATAAGAGTACTCACTACGTTCATTACACTTAAGTGCGCAATTTTTACATTTAATTTGCACTTCATTTCCTTTAGGGGTTAGAAGTACACATGCGCATCTTAAATGAATATAACGAGGTATTAGTATCAATTAATTAACTATCAGTTGATAAGGTTCAACTGAAAATACGGAAACTTGAATGAAAAGAGAATATTCAATAAGTTATCAAGGGTTCTAGACAAATATTAAGCTTTATTGAATGGTACCTAGGCAAAAAAAGTCCAAAAACATCTTTGTGAAAAAAAAATTTGAAACATTTTGATTTTTTTCTTTCATTTTTTGCTTATTTGTTTTTTTTGACAACTGTTGTCGATTATGCTTTATTCCTTAACTTATCACGTTTGTATAGTTGTTATCCCATTGCATACAGAGCACAACTTCAATTTGAAAAATAATTTTAAATATGGTCGGAAAATTCGATCTGTGCTACTTGCACAGCAACCGGCTATCCTTCTTTAAGAATTGTTTTTGTTTAAAAAATAACTGACATTGTTGCTTCAGTTTTATGCCGAAAATTTCTGTGTTCAGAATAACCGACTACTTGTAGAGCTAGCAATCGGCTACTCTGGTTTCACTATTGTTTTAAAATAAAATTAATTTTTTGTGATGTATCAAGAATGCTTGACTGGGTGTGTAATTGGATTATATCTAAATTTTTTTGTCATTTTATGAGAAATACGAGGCCAAAGACTGTTAATATACTGTTTTAAAATATTTGTTTTTGATCTTAGTGAGCAAAAATCGAACGGTTTGATTTAAAAGTATCCATGAAAAATTTCTACCCTTCCCATAAACATGGCAGTGATTTTTTCGATGAGCGAGTGTACTCACTTGAGGCACTTTCGGACGAAGTCCACAAAATCGGGGTTTGTGCAGTTTTTGAGTGACTGTTCTAGGGTCCTGTTGTTGGGCTTGCGCTTCTTGCCCTTGCTGTTGGTCAGGCACCGGGGGGAGTTGCGTGAATCGAAGAACACTTTCTTGCGTGTGGCATCCTTCAGCACGCTCGAAGGAGGCACGCCGAAGATCTGAAAAAATGGTTGTCAGGTATTTGTCAAGTTTCACATTTAAACAACTTGATGTCTAGCACAATAAGTTAGTAACCATAAACATTGTTTGGCAAAAATTATGGATTGGCAAAAAAGTGATTTAACAGAACTTTACATACAGCTCTGAGGCTTCGTTATACTCTAAGAACAGAACTCTAAAACCAGAAACTTTAAAAATGTCTCTGAATTTATCGTGTCTGCACTAAACAATCCCATACAAATACACCGGTGACATTAAACCGGACTGTTTTGTATCGGACTGTTTTTTTTGGTTCGTTTCATGATTTTTTGGACTGTTGCGCAGTAGCGGATTTAGAAGAGGGGGGGGGGGGACGCCCCCCCCCCTCAGGGATTCGACCCCCTGCCGACCCAAAGGGCCCCCCTTCGTGCTATTTTGAGATATATATGTTTGCTGACGGACGCCAATCTATACTATTTTTGAGGAGCGCGCGCCGAAAAACAGCGATTTTTTGGGCGAAATTTTCCAAAAACTGCCTAAAAACGCCTTTTTTGGTCTTTTTTCAAAAATTTGCCGGCGGCGCAGAAAATTTGGTCAAATTTGTGTCTTTATAGTGGTTTGGGAGAGCTCAGAAATTTTTTTTTGAAAGTCCGCCGGGCCCCCTCGAGAAATTCCTAGATCAGCGCCTGCTGTTGCGTATATGCACCAAGTTTATGTATTAGTTTTTCGTAATTTTTTCTAAAGAACTTCGATTGGAACTTGTTATATGATGCCTACCTCCATGATGCAATTGAGTTGTTCGACCTCGTTCTCCCCTGGGAAGATGGGGTATCCGGTGTAGAGTTCAGCCAGGATGCATCCCAGGGACCACATGTCTATGGGGGAGGAGTACTCCAGCCCCAGGATGACCTCTGGTGACCGGTAGAAGCGAGATTGGATATATGTGTAAACTGAAATAGATCCACATTGAACCAAATTGGAATTGAAACTTGTGCGAAAAGTTGTTCAAAAAGTGGAAATTATCTGCTGTATGTGATTGGAAAACCTTAAGCGCGTCAGAGACAAAGGTATTTTCGTTTTCATCTATTTGCTCCAATTGATCGGTCCGAAAGACAAAATTAATATCAAAAATAATATGTATGCCCATATGACGGACAAGCTTTTGTTAAATAGATCAATGATCATCGATGCATCATCAGTATAAAATCATGCCTTTTCTACATTCAAATGATATTTGAGTGAGAAATAAGGTGCTCAGTTACTGCGCAGATGGAAATAAGCATCGCTCCGACAAAAGTTTTTGCGACAATAGTTGTAGCATTTAGTAAAAGATTTCAATCAATTTTTGAAATGTTCTTATTTGCTCTTTTTGAATATAAGTTTATATGTTATAGTTATCAAGGGCTTAAATGAACCATAAAAACTAAAAATAATCATAAAACATTCCATCAGTGTATTTAACCCGTTTTCGTTCCTCGTGGTACCTTGTTTTCCGACGAAGCAGCTGGAGCCGACGTCGATGACTTTGATGGCACTGGTGCCCTTGAAGTTGGCCTGCAGCAGGATGTTCTCCTATGATTACAACAACCTTAATTTAATGAATAGTTACAAAATAAGATGATATCAAAAGCACGGATGATTTAAAAATGTCAACCCACAATTTTTATGACGTTGATAGATTGAACAGGAAATTTGCTTGAAAACTTTAACGAAAAAATTGAATAATAATTTAAAAGAGTTGAACAGTAAAAACATCAACCTATAGTTTTTTCTGACGTCGATAGATTAAACAGGATATTTGCTCGAAGTTCTTCTGACGTTCTGAAAGAGATTGATCAGGACATTTGCTCGGAAACTATAAAGTTTCAAAAAAATTGCTGGGAATAATTAATAAACAAAAAAATCATCCTTTAGTTTTTCTGACGTTCTGATAGAGATTGAACAGGAAATTTGCTAGGAAACTACAAAGTTTCAAAAAAAAATTGCTAGGAATAATTAATAAAAAAATCATACTATAGTTTTTCTGAAGTTCTGATAGATTGAACAGGAAGATTGTCTCGGAAACAATAAAGCTTTGAAAAAAGTTGCTGACTAATAAATAATAAAACTGACTGGTTTTAGGTCGCAGTGTATGATGTGTTGTTGGTGGAAGAGGAGGAGACATTGCAGTATGGAGTAGGCGAACCTCTTTATGAGGCTGAAGGAGAAGCCCTGGTAGTTGTTGATCTTGATCAGCTCATACAGGTTCATACTGCACACAATAAACACCAGTCAAATACATTTTCAAAAGTATTGGTTCACGAGTAAAAGAGATTTCATAAAAAAATAGACCAGAAATGCTTGCTATTTAAAACGATGAGTTATTTCAGTGTAAATCAAATTGGTGTGTGAATGGGTCGCTACTGAACAAGGATTTCTTTGATAGAAGTTTTATTTGTATAAAAAAATATGGAGTTTGTTTGTACTCAAATTTGTGTCCTTTTGTGAAAGATTTTGAGCGGTTTCCATTCATATGGCTATGAATAGTTAAATACTTTCAAATGATAGCAGCGTAACTATTCAGCCTCTAAGTGAAAGAGAGAGTTTTTTTAAAAGCTAGAATTTTCAGATTTTCTTATCTTCCAAATTGGAACCGTTAAAGTAAAAAGACTCCTCTCAAAAATGGAATTTTTAGAGATTTTATCGGACCCCAGTAGTTCGAATGTGATGCAGAGGTGGTTTCTGAAGTAGAACCAGTCCTGAAGGTGGATGATGTTGCCATCATTCTCCTTGTCACTCTCCTTCAGTCTCTCCAGAATCTCCACTTCTATCAGCGCCTGTGCGTGGAACCTACGCAGACAAACACGCACGAATAACACGCAGTAGTACAGTTCAGAATACTTTTCCTGTTATTAAGTCAGGTTTCAGGTCCAGATGGGACCCCTACTGTATTAATATGAAGCGGCAATTCGTAACAGGCGACAATTCGTAGCAGTAATTTAAGCGGGGAACACTGATTCACGCGCAGTATTCCTCTCGTGCTGGATGTAAGCGCCGCGGAGCGAAGGGGAGCAATCGTATTCTACTTGCCAATGCCTTGTTACGTATTGTCGCTTGTTACGAATTGTCACCTGTTACGAATTGTCGCCCTGCCCTGTATAAAGCCCCCTACTTGAACATTGTCTTACTAAAGATCAAAGAGGTCTCAAATTTTATTTTAGTTTAGGTAAATAATTATTATATAAAAATTCCCACAAAATTTTTTATTTCCTTCAAAACTTTTCGAAGACTTTTAACTTGTTTGAAAAATAAAAAAGACTAACACTACAAACTTGTGAGCGTTTATCTTCATTTGTCATGTTTAATTCCGATTACTCAGTCGTGTTTTTCAATGAAATCAAATAACTTTAATTCGTGGTACTAAGAATGAATATCATTATCTAAGAAACCGATTTGCATAAAACTTAAAGGTGAATAGACATTTGTTATATTTCAAATCTTTGAAAAGCTAACGTAACATAATACCGAGCGTTTTTATATTTCTTTGTCATTAAAAACAACGTAAATTACCGTCTTTTGTTTCGGATTATCTTTAGGGCGACGAACTTCTGTTTCTGGTGATCGAATGCACGGATGACTTGTCCGAAGCTTCCTTTGCCCAGAGTGTCGAATAACTCATAACGAAACAACACTTGGTCTCCTGTTACCTGAAACAGAAAGGAATTGACAATATTGTACACTCAACAGAAAACAAAGGGAGTTTTATGAATATACATCTTAAAACAAAGTGAATTGTAAAGTCTTTTGAAACATAGCAAATTTTTCATTTTTAAAAATATATATATTTTTTGCGAAATCGTTTCGATTCAGAAGTTTGCTTCTTCGCTACGCTACAAGTTCCTAGTTCTGACAAATGGCAATTTGCGGGAAAAATGGCCCTAAAATTGAGGCGCTTTGTTTCTTTAATGGAAAAAGATATCAGTTAGATTTGAAGACGTTATCACACCAAAACAATTACAGTATCTTTATTTTCTTTGAAAACAAGATGCAAATCAAAGCAAAACTGGCAGAAGAAGTTATCAGTTTACAAGAAAAATTACAGGTAACAAAATCATGTGGTAACTATTTGGACGTCGAACTCAGAAAAGCAAACCTCGACTACTTTAATTCCCATGACAAGTCACTTCGCCCGATACGTCATCTAAACTATATTAAATGTGTGTGACATGTATCTTGCCATGTTTAAGCGTTTTTTGCAACAGTTGAGGGCATAACGTCTATGCGTGGTAAAGTTATATCGTATTTTGCTATGCTTAAGAATTTATTTTGATTTTTCAGTTTGAGCCTAGTGTTTGTACCACCGAGTTAAAAGTTAGCAACACAAAAGTGGGATGCTGTCAAAGTTCCCCCGGGGGTTGCGATTTGGTCTCCAATTATGAATGCCCAAATCTTTTTCGTGTACGAGAGACGACGATTTATGTGACTTTTTCAAAACTTTTTGGAAAACTCAATTTAAATTTTTTAACCCTGTGTTTGGGGTTTGGGTGCCAACGCTTTGAAATTCCCAATGAAAATCCCAACGCTATAGTGGGGGGCTGTCAGAGTACTCCAGAGGATTGCGAATCTCGCCTCCACATATGACTGCTCAAGTCTTTGTAATTATTGAGATGTGACGTTTTTATGGTTTTGCTGTTTTTTCCCCAAAATTTGAAATTCCAAACCCTGTACTTGGCTACTGTGAGAGTACTCTCAGGATTTGCAAACTTTGCGTCCAAATGCGACTGCTCAAGTGCTTTTAGTTTCCAAAATATGAGGTTTTGTCATGACATTTTTCACAGAACTTAGATATAAAAAACTTCACAAAATTAAATGGTTCACAAACTTTAATGGTTTTTCAAAATATGAATGAAAAAATAATAGAAAAAAAACTTCGCTAAATTTGAAATTACGAAGCCTGTTATTGGGTGCTGTCAGAGTACACTCGAAGATTGCAGATCTTTTATTTTTCAAAATACAGGTTTTTTTATGAGTTCTCAAAAACTCGAAGCACCGGAGGTGCGTTACACGCTAGTTTTATTTGCCTAATCATCCCATTGAAAACATTTTTAGCTCATTAATTATAAAGTTACCATTTTGTTATGATGCCGCTAGATACTATGGGTTTAGTAGGTACGTTTTTCCACGATATAAGTTAGGTATACTATATCGAGATTGTATAAAATTGTCGGGCTTCCCCAGCTAATTCAATGTCTTTAAAACTCAGAGAACTTTTCGTAAGACGAAGAGATAAAATATCGAAAATGTTTCATTTACTAAATCGGCTGTTGATTTCGTGATATGCTCGCCCATTCTCCTAAAATCAATCTCACAAAAATTCAACTTTTCAGAAGTCTCATTATGAAATTTTCACAGATTGCAAATTATTTTGAATTAGCAGGCACCACCTATGTTAACAGGTTCTGGATTGTTTTCTAATAACAGTATTGGGCAGCCTGCACAGAAATAACCAAATGAGCGAATATGCCGATGCTTTTTGTCCCGATTTTGCTGTTCATGTTCCGACGGTCTACGACTACGAGGTGTGTGCAAAATTCAAATCCTGCAGTAGGTATACAAATAGAGAAAGTCTTAACATAGAAATAGTCATATATTAAAATTACCTTTTTTATTGGTTCTGTGCAAGTACACAGAGAAAAGTACCGCAAACCTGGTAGTTTTCTACTTTCTTCTATTAGCTACGAAAATTTGTTGAGAATTTTTTTCTACGATGAAATGTTCTGCAAGCTCTTGGTAATGCAAAAATTGTTTCGAGGTTGTTAGTAGACAAGTGAATTAGGATCGCTCGTATAAAAATTCTTTGTTTCAGGGCAACATATCAAGTGCTTTTGGTTTTAAAATGGTGGATGAACCTGAAAATGAAATGGTAGATGTTTGCGTAATGGACAGAAATCACATCATTAGGTAAGTTTTTGCTGTTTTTACTTATAAATTGCAAAAAAACTCAGAACTGTATTTAATGATCAACTAATTTTGCTGAATTATCTACTTGTGAATCTTCGCCCTTTTCACTATTTTGATATTAATCTGAAAAGTAGAAAACGAAAACCCACTGTTTTCAGGTACACTTGCCAAAGTAGCCTTGCGTTGACGTCAATTTCTGACGACCTCTACCGAATCATAAACGCCAACGTGAAAGAAACTGTTCCCGAACTTGATTTGGAGGAGAGTGATGAAAACTATATCAAAGATCGGGATTTCCATAGGAAGAGTCTAGTTCAAAAGCTCACGAAAACATCACTTTCTATTGATTACACTGATGTAATTTAAACTTCAGAGCTTTTTCGATATTATTTTAAAAGAGATTTGAAAGAAAACCATTATTTTTTGAAGTGTTATTGCATTTAATTGCTTCCGACAGGCAGACGTTGCGCTCAATTTTTAGGCTGTCTAAATTAAGATTTTCAGGGGTCGCGCTTAATAAGTTGTACAAATTTGTCTGGAAACGCTTCGTCAATTATCGTATCGGAAATTTTTATTGTAGCCGATAAATGATTCAAATTTCGAAAATTTGAACAGCTTACATTTTTTGGTTTTGTTAGTAATTTTACGCAAACTTTTTCTCGAAAATCATGCGAATAATTTAAGCTGTACCGTATTAAAACTGAAAGTTACAGTACTTTTTGTCTGATACTAAAATAAATATAATTTTTAGGAAAAACAAAAATATTACGCGGATGAGAAGCAGAATCAGACACAAAAATCAATACAATTGGAGAATTACAGCTCAGAATTGGTTCAAAATGCAGAAAATCATCAAGAAAATGCTGCTGGACAACAACCGAAAGTTAACGGAATTCATGACAAGTTTATTTTACTCTCAGAATTATACAAAATGTACGCGACAGAGAATCATCCGACCGATTTACTCTCATGGAGTTTTCACTTCTTCAATCAGCTTTCGCTGCTGAACAGATCGGGATATTGCACGGGTGGTTACAACTCAACGAAAAAGAAGACTATTGAAAAGAAAACCAAAGCCACGCAGTCCGAGTTATTTCACGCAGCAGAGATATACCAAACTGCAGAAGTAAATTTTCAATTAATTTTTTTTTGAAATGAGGTTCTATTGCACGACACGTTTCCAGTTGTGTAGTTCAATTCATAAAAGTGTAACCTTTTTGTGTGGTCACTCAGAAATCTTCAGATCTTTCACCGCCCCTCGACCCGTCGGTGTTTTTTTATGACATGTTTTCGGACTTAAAACTTGTCTGAACACCACTTCAGTGCAAAAGTGCAAATTTATATAAGACTAAAGTGTATAGTGAACGCGTGTAAAAGCAGCAACTTTCTGTACGAATAGCATTTCAAAAATATCTCCAAAAAACAGCTCTGCAGTTTTCTTTTTTACAGATAAAGGACCAAGTTAAGATCCCCTCAAGCCTTGGGGGGATGTTAACTTGGTTCTAAGTTTGGATTTTTCAGCCAATCAAAATCGAGCATTTTAAATGCAGCGCTTAGCAAATTTAATTCAAATTAAGCGATGGGGTGGAGGATCTTAACTTGGTCAGTTTTTTTGACGGGGTGGAGGGGGGGCTAGGGAGGAGGAGGATTATGTTAACTTGGTCTCCGATAATTTTTTTTCTTTTTTGTATAAACACTTGTATTGTTGACTTTTTGACTAAAACTTTTTAACAGTAAATTTAGTTCCTCTTGAATACTTATTAGAAGTTTTTTAGGAAACATCTGTAATCAAGCTGGATCTCTTGGATAGAAGGTGTTTGGATTCGAGGACACGCAATAAAGCGAGAGGATCTTCAATGCCCCCGATACGAACAAAAAAAGAGCAACAGACGCGCACCAGAAAAGACGGAGTAGTGTATCCATTCAATGACTTCAGAGAAGGTTCAAACTACAAAAAACTTGTCCGTTTTAAACAGAAGTTAATGTCATCAGGTGAGAATCTCCTCTTGAAAGGCCAACCCACTTTCCTAGGAAATAGAAGAAAAAACAGATCTTCTCCTTTCTGTTCCATCTATGTTTGTAAATTTGATTGAATGAAATTAGAGCGAACATCCTAGTTGACCTTTTCCTCTCAACCGCGGCAAATGTATAATAGACTTCAACTTTAGCGCTTTTTTGCAAAAAGGGATAAACGGAAAACGTTGATCAACATGGTATTTTAAAAACCTGTAAAACGGATGACGCAATCTCAAAAGTTTTGATGTTGAAAAAAAAAGATTTTATAAATATGTTTTTTGTATTTTAGAAAGATTTAGTGACTATGTCGAGATTACAAGAGCTGAGAAACTATGGACCAGAATGAACCTCCCTGCTAAAGACTGGAAAGTAATAGAGGCTCACTTTGACAATCGGATATCTCGCAGAGTCCTTTTTCTCGAGCTGATTTCATTCGCAATGCATGCACTGTTTCTAGAATTCAGAACTGCACTTAAGGTTGCAATTTCTATTTTATCGGATGAAAAAGATGAAAAAAGCAAAAATTTGGACCGAAAAACTTTCATTTATGTTATCAACATCATGACGCAAGAGGATACTTATTGGACGGTTATTAGCAAGGCGAGCTTGTTGAAATCAGTTCAAGAGGTGTGTAGAAAGCATGAAGGAAAAGTAAGTATATTATTTCCCATTTCAGTTTAAAGCCACTGACTTCACAAAAAGTATTTAATATTTTTAATTGAAATGAAATTCTTTAAAATCTTTTATATGAACTTATACGAAAAACTAACGGTTGAACTAACTGGGCTTTGATATTTAGTAAACATGCAAATATCGTTTATCAAAATTAAAATTTGTTGTTTATCTTAGATTAACATTCGAGATGTGGACGACCTGATATTTCCAACAAACAGGATTTTAGCGTCAACCGTGGCCAATGAACTGAAAGCAAGTTCGATAGTCAGCCTTCAAGCAATCCGATAGAAGATTTACAACCATTTTAACGAAACGCGAACTTTTCATAATTAGAATTTCGCAAAATCTTACAATTTGCACAAATAGATAACTATATTTGGAACCAAAGATCTACACGCGAAAAACGACAGTAGCTGATTATGTATTTTTAGTTAAAGATAAACACATTACTGAATAATACACATTACCCAGTCACACTGAATAATTCTTAATAATTAACCTTTATTGTGCAAATACGTTGGTTATAATGGCTGACATAAAAAAATGAAAGTTTTTCAAGTAAGTCTCCGTCAAAAATTGTTCGGCTGGTTCAATCACCCACTGTTAATCACCTGTGATCCTTAAGGGTTCAAAGTCTGACAACAAGGTTGCTCGTATACCAAGACAAAGCCCTGAATGTTGCGACTGAATTCAATTGGTAACAAAAAGTTGTTTGTAAAGAGAAAATTAAAAACCTTAAATTTTGGTCAATACCAAACGTCAAATTTGAAAATTTTAGTAGTACAAAATTAGTACGACCGATTGATTAGCTTGCTTCAATTCAAATTGAAACAATTTTGCAGTGCGAGGTAACTCACCACGTATAAATAAATTGCGTCGCGCTTTCTGCATCATGAAAATAATCATCAAAGTGCTCATAAAATAGTCCAAACTTTTTTCAAATTAGCGCTTTTCAAATTGCCAGAATTTAGAAAGAATATTTGAAGATAATCAATCCTTTTACAGTTCAATTCGTTTGTGAAACTTTTTGATGAAATTTATATTTTCGAATCCTAAAATTGACTGAAAAAAAAACATTCCATTCATAAAACTTCCGCTTTACTGGAAAGAATTTAAATATACGCTGAAATCTTTTTCTTGTACTAAATTTTGTTCCGATTTTCCAAAATACTGACAAAATTTTTGAGTTAGGTTAAATATTTTCGCTGGTAGTTCTGACAATTTTTTTTTGAATCATTTGACAAATATTGTTGTCCTGAGCTCAAATATTAAAAAATTTTCGGCCGTGATTATTTTTTTAGTAATTTAACGAGGATTTAAAGGTTGGGACAATTAACAAGCAGTACATTTCGTGCTGTAAACGCGTAAGCAGACATGTCATTTGTTTTAGAAAATGTTCCAAATTGAAATGAGGCTTGCCATTTTTACTGTTCAATACTGTACAAAAAAAGACTTCGCAAAATTAAATGGTTCACAAAATTTAATGGTTTTTCAAAATTTGAATGAAAAAACTAATAGAAAAAAAACTTCGCCAAATTTGAAATTACGAACCCTGTTATTGGGTGCTGTCAGAGTACACTCGAAGATTGCAGATCTTTTATTTTTCATAATACAGGTTTTTTTATGAGTTCTCAAAAACTCGAAGCACCGGAGGTGCGTTACACGCTAGTTTTGTTTGCCTAATTATCCCATTGAAAACATTTTTAGCTCATATATAATAAAGCTACCATTTTGTTATGATGCCGCTGGATACTATGAATTAGTAGGTACACTTTTCCACGATATAAGTTAGGTATACTATATTGAGATTGTATAAAATTGTCGGGCTTCCTTAGCTAATTCAATGTCTTTAAAACTCGTAGTGAAATTTCCGTAAGACGAAGAGATAAAATATCGAAAATGTTTCATTTACTAAATCAGCTATTGATTTCGTGATATGCTCGCCTATTCTCCTAAAATCAATCTCACAAAAATTCAACTTTTTACAGAAATCTCATTGTTAACAGGTTCTGGATTGCTTTCTAATAACAGTAGTGGGCAGCCTGCACCGAAATAACCAAATGAGCGAATATGCCGATGCTTTTTGTCCCGTTTTTGCTGTTCATGTTCCGACGGTCTACGACTACGAGGTGTGTGCAAAATTAAAATCCTGCAGTCGTTATACAAATAGAGAAAGTCTTAATATAGAAATAGTCATATATTAAAATGACCTTTTTTATTGGTTCTGTGCAAGTACACAGAGATAAGTGCTGCAAGTCTGGTAGTTTTTTAACTTCTTCTATTATCTAAGAAAATTTGTTGAGAATTTTTTTCTACGATGAAATGTTCTGCAAGCTCTTGGTAATGCGAAAATTGTTTCGAGGTTGTTAGTAGACAAGTGAATTAGGATCGCTCGTATACAACTCCTTGTTTCAGGGCAACATAGCAAGGGCTTTTGGTTTCAAAATGGTGGATGCACTTGAAAATGAAATGGTAGATGTTTGCGTAATGGACAGAAATCACATCATTAGGTAAGTTTTTGCTGTTTTTACTTATAAATTGCAAAAAAAAAACTCAGAAATGTACTTAATGATCAACTAATTTTGCTGAACTATCTACGTGAGAATATTCTCCCCTTTTACTATTTTGATATTAATCTGAAAAGTAGAAAACGAAAACCCTCTGTTTTAAGGTACACTTGCCAAAGTAGCCTTGCGTTGACGTCAATTTCTGACGACCTCTACCGAATCATAAACGCCAACGTGAAAGAAACTGTTCCCGAACTTGATTTGGAGGAGAGTGATGAAAACTATATCAAAGATCGGGATTTCCATAGGAAGAGTCTAGTTCAAAAGCTCATGAAAACATCACTTTCTATTGATGACACTGATCTAATTCAAATTTCAGAGCTTTTTCGATATTATTTTTAAAGAGATTTAAAAGAAAACCATTATTTTTTGAAGTGTTATTGCATTTAATTGCTTCCGACAGGCAGACGTTGCGCTCAATTTTTATGCTATCTAAATTTAGATTTTCAGGGGTTGCGCTTAATAAGTTGTACAAATTTGTCTGGAAACGCTTCGTCAATTATCGGAAATTTTCATTGTAGCCGATAAACGATTCAAAATTCGAAAATTTGAACAGCTTACATTTTTTGGTTTTGTTAGTAATTTTACGCAAACTTTTTCTTCTCAAAAATCATGCGAATAATTTAAACTGTACCGTATTAAAACTGAAATTTTCAGTACTTTTTGTCTGATACTAAAATAAATATATTTTTTAGGAAAAACAAAAATATTACGCGGATGAGAAGCAGAATCAGACACACAAACCAATACAATTTGAGAATTACAGCTCAGAATTGCTTCAAAATGCAGAAAATCATCAAGAAAATGCTGCTGGACAACAACCGAAAGTTAACGGAATTCAAGATAAGTGTATTTTACTCTCAGAATTATACAAAATGTACGCGGCAGAGAATCATCCGACCGATTTACTCTCATGGAGTTTTCACTTCTTCAATCAGCTTTCGTTGCTGAACAGATCGGGATATTGGACGGGTGGTTACAATTCAACGAAAAAGAAGACCATTGAAAAGAAAACCAAAGCAACGCAGTCCGAGTTATTTTACGCAGCAGAGATATACCAAACTGCAGAAGTAAATTTTTGTTAATTTTTTTGAATTGAGTTTTTATTGCACGACACGTTTCCAGTTGTGTTGTTCAATTCATAAAAGCGTAACCTTTTTGTGTGGTCACTCAGAAATCTTCAGATTTTTCACCGCCCATCGACCCGTCGGTGTTTTTTATGACATATGTTTTTGGACTAAAAAACTTGTCTCTTTTCTGAACACAACTTCAGTGCAAATGTATATAAGACTTAAGTGTATAGTGAACGCGTGTAAAAGCAGCGATATTCTGAATGAATAGCATTTCAAAAATATCTCCAAAAAACAGTTCAGCATTTTTTTTAACCAATAAAGGATCAAGTTAACATCCCTCAAGCCTTGGGGGATGTTAACTTGGTTCTAAGTTTGGATTTTTCAGCCAATCAGAGTTGAGCATTTTAAATGCAGCGCTTAGCAAATTTAATTCAAATTAAGCGATGGGGTGGAGGCTCTTAACTTGGTCTATTTTTTTGACGGGGGGGGGGGGGAGGGAGGGGGCGGATTATGTTAACTTGGTCTCCGATAAATTTGTTTTTTTTTGCATAAACACTCGTATTGTTGACTTTTTGACTAACACTTTTTTACAGTAAATTTACTTCCTCTTGAATAATTATTAGAAGTTTTTTAGGAAACATCTGTAATCAAGCTGGATCTCTTGGATAGAAGGTGTTTGGATTCGAGAACACGCAATAAAGCGAGAGGATCTTCGATGCCCCCGATACGAACAAAAAGAGAGCAACAGACGCGCACCAGAAAAGACGGAGTAGTGTATCCATTCAATGACTTCAGAGAATGTTCAAACTACAAAGAACTTGTCCGTTTTAAACAGAAGTTAATGTCATCAGGTTTGAATCTCCTCTTGAAAAGCCAACCCACTTTCCTAGGAAATAGAAGAAAAAACAGATCTTCTTCTTTCTGTTCCTTCTATGTTTGTAAATTTGATTGACTGAATTTAGAGCGAATATCCTAGTTGACCTTTTCCTCCCAACCGGCGCAAATGTATAATAGACTTCATCTTTAGCGCTTTTTTGCAAAAAGGGATAAACGGAAAACGTTGATCAACATGGTATTTTAAAAACCTGTAAAACCGATGACGCAATCTCAAAAGTTTTGATGTTGAAAAAAAAAAGATTTTATAAATATGATTTTTGTATTTTAGAAAGATTTAGTGACTATGTCGAGATTACAAGAGCTGAGAAACTATGGACCAGAATGAACCTCCCTGCTAAAGACTGGAAAGTAATAGAGGCTCACTTTGACAATCGGATATCTCGCAGAGTCTTTTTTCTCGAGCTGATTTCATTCGCAATGCATGCACTGTTTCTAGAATTCAGAACTGCACTTAAGGTTGCAATTTCTATTTTATCGGATGAAAAAGATGAAAAAAGCAAAAATTTGGACCGAAAAACTTTCATTTATGTTATCAACATCATGACGCAAGAGGATACTTATTGGACGGTTATTAGCAAGGCGAGCTTGTTGAAATCAGTTCAAGAGGTGTGTAGAAAGCATGAAGGAAAAATAAGTATATTATTTCCCATTTTAGTTAAAGCCACTGACTTCACAAAAAGTATTTAATATTTTTAATTGAAATGAAATTCTTTAAAATCTTTTATATGAACTTATACGAAAAACTAACGGTTGAACTAACTGGGCTTTGATATTTAGTAAACTTGCAAATATCGTTTATCAAAATGAAAATTTGTTGTTTATCTTAGATTAACATTCGAGATGTGGACGACCTGATATTTCCAACAAACGGGATTTTAGCGTCAACCGTGGCCAAAGATCTGAAAGCAAGTTCGATAGTGAGCCTTCAAGCAATCCGATAGAAGATTTACAACCATTTTAACGAAACCCGAACTTTTCATAATTAGAATTTCGCAAAATCTTACAATTTGCACAAATAGATAACTATATTTGGAACCAAAGATCTACACGCGAAAAACGACGGTAGCTGATTATGTATTTTTAGTTAAAGATAAACACATTACTGAATAATTACACATTACCCAGTCACACTGAATAATTCTTAATAATTAACCTTTATTGTGCAAATACGTTGGTTATAATGGCTGACATAAAAAATGAAAGTTTTTTAAGTAAGTCTCCGTCAAAAATTGTTCGGCTGGTTCAATCACACACTGTTAATCACCTGTGATCCTTAAGGGTTCAAAGTCTGACAACAAGGTTGCTCGTATACCAAGACAAAGCCCTGAATGTTTCGACTGAATTCAATTGGTAACAAAAAGTTGTTTGTAAAGAGAAAATTAAAAACCTTAAATTTTGGTCAATACCAAACGTCAAATTTGAAAATTTTAGCTGTACAAAATTAGTACGACCGATTGATTAGCTTGCTTCAATTCAAATTGAAACAATTTTGCAGTGCGAGGTAACTCACCACGTATAAATAAATTGCGTCGCGCTTTCTGCATCATGAAAATAATCATCAAAGTGCTCATAAAATAGTCAAACTTTTTTCAAATTAGCGCTTTTCAAATTGCCAGAATTTAGAAAGAATATTTGAAGATAATCAATCCTTTTACAGGTGAATTCATTTGTGAAACTTTTTGATGAAATTTATATTTTCGAATCCTAAAATTGACTGAAAAAGAACACTCCATTCATAAAACTTTCGCTTCACTGGAAAGAATTTATATATACGCTGAAATCTTTTTCTTGTACTAAATTTTATTCCGATTTTCCAAAATACTGACAAAATTTCTGAGTTAGGTTAAATATTTTCGCTGGTAGTTCTGACATTTTTTTTTTTTGAATCATTTGACAAATATTGTTGTCCTGAGCTCAAGTATTAAAAAATTTTCGGCCGTGATTATTTTTTTAGTAATGTTACGAGGATTTAAAGGTTGGGACAATTAACAAGCAGTACATTTCGTGCTGTAAACGCGTAAGCAGACATGTCATTTGTTTTAGAAAATGTTCCAAATTGAAATGAGGCTTGCCATTTTTACTGTTCAATACTTCGTTTTTGTTAAAGTTATCACTTTGTTTTTTACATAGCGGGTAAAATCATTTTTTTTAAATGTGAACTCCCTTTCAATAGACCTTAAAATGCACTGGTACCACTCAAAGTTTCAACTTCAATAGACCATAAACTGTTTTTGGAACACTCCAGTTTTCGCCATGATACGTGATGTCTTGTTAGTTTTACTTCTGAAATTTTGATTAGTGATACAAAATAGCAGTCATATTTTAGGCTTTAGTTAGCAGCAAACAAAAAACAATGGAAATGACCAAACAGTATGGTCAGTTATACCTCAAACCCTGTAAAAATGCATAAATCATAGGCTGCAATGATTAAATTAACAATGTGGACTTCAGAGACATTAGTTCATAAATAAAAAATATATCATTTACGTATCAAATTTGGGCAAATTGATTTGTCAATCGGGTTCTCTCTATAATTTTTTGAGCGTTAAAAAAATCGAAGCTTTAGTGTGTCTACAATTCATTAAACGCCGTACTACTTCGTTTGGTTTTTTTTTTAAATTACTGTTAAATAAAATTGTTGGAACCCAAAAGAATAAACATTTTTTTTCTCAAACTAAAAAGATTCTGGACATAACAATGCAATTAAAGGTAATTTGATTTTTCCCAGATTGGTTTTGATTACTCAATGAAATACGCAGCAGCCCAACAATTTTTCATGTAAAATTTTTTTATGAGTTAGAAGCAATTTAAAGGAAATTTTTCAGACAATATCTCCATTTTGTTGAGCTAAAGTGAAACGCTTATTTATGGGCTAGTTTTCCGCCCCAAAAATCAAGAAAAAAACCTTGCAAGCGAGTCTTCCAGGTGTTATACTCGCTCATTATAGCTAATTTTATGCGAAGATTTTTGAAGCAATATTTTTTTGAAGGTTTTCAATAATCTAAAATTGTTAACGCCCTGATTTTTTTCCCAAACGATTTTTATCTGGATTGACAGAAAACGCTGGCCATAATTTTAACACCATAGTTTTTATTTAGCTCCTAGCCGCTGAGATTGATTTTTAATACCTTTACTTGTTGTTTGAAATAACTCTACTTTTCAAAGACATAACTTTCACTTTTTAAAGACATAAAATATATATTTGTATGACTAGCTTTTGATTGGTATTCCAGGTAGTCTGTTTTCAAATTTAACAATTTTATGTCTCAAATTTTCCAAACAGCACACAGAGAACAGTTTTATGCCTCAAAAATCTCAGAAATTTGATTCGATGGATCGCATAACGACAACGAGCGAGAATTTTCTAAATCAAAGCAGGAAATTATCCAAAACAACTTAATCTTTCTACGAAATCTTTGAAAAAATTTGAAAGGTCGCGATATTTCTTTTTGTCAAGATTTTTAGTGTATTCCCGTCGATCTTTACCAATCTTCAAAATTCTGGACACTATCTTGCCAAGATCAAGAAGTTTTCAAAGGTTCATCAAGATTGCAAAGATTTTGGACAAAGGCAAAGCTTACTTTTAGGTAGCCTCCATGTTCGTCGTCGTGTCCGTAGTTCCTCTCGCCCGTCTCGTTTAACTTGAGTTTGTTGGCTCTTAGTCCGAAGTAGTACAGCTGTAGATTCAAGTCCTTTTCCTGCAGTTTCTTCACCTCTCCTTTCTCAAATGAATTGAATAGCGAGTAAACAGGACAGTCTTCTATTTCTGAAACATTTCTCAAATTAATTGCCGGCTTGTGAGATGAAGTGTTGGTTGAGTGAAAAAACTCTTAAGGCATCATAAACACTTTGAAAAATGTAACACCTACATTAAATTCATCTGAAAAGACAGGATTTATAATTTTACAACCATTTAAAAACAATTGAAGCACTCGTATTCTAAAGCACTGGTTTCTAATTCAACAAGTTTCAAAAGTGAGCACGGTATCGCAAAACTAAAAGAAATTTTGAAACCAAACATCTCTTTTTTAGGCTAGATGTCACAAACAAAATTAAAAATTTTGAAACTATGCCAAGTAAATTTGCTACAAATTTTATTATTAAGCACTTGGTTTATTTTGGGTGCATCTGTAAGTCCGGAAGTGAAGAAAGCATCACTCGATGGACACAATGAACATCGAAAGAATGCAGGACTCGATCTATTCGAATGGAGAGCTGGACTGGGCAAGTTTGAACCATTTTTAAAACTGAAACCTGGCGAAACCCCTTACAGTCGCACATTGAGAACCTACTTGCTCTGTTTTCTTCCCCCAACCTGCTTGCGATTTTTTACAACTACGTTTTTTTTTGGGTGGAGGGGGGAGGAGGAAAAAGAGCCTCTGCTAAACCCAAAAATTGATGCTTATGTAAGACCGGGGAATAAAAAGAGCGAAAAAGGTGAAATTGTGGTGCCGCGAGAAACATGAAATCCGATGAATAAATGTTTCAATTATAATAACATTCGCAGACATGCTAGACTAAAGTGCAGACGGATTCATATCTTTTTTGCTACAAACTTTTTCAGGAAAACAACCAATATGTGAACCAATGTTTTGGTTAAAAATGATCAAATAAAAATAATAAATTAAGTTTTGATCGCAAATCTTACCACCACGCGCAATCTACAGTACATAATTTATTTCTCATTCAGTGATACCAAAATCTTAGAAACAACCGAATTGCTTCAATTCAAATCAGAATGATTCAGTTCGCCGTGCATTTTACGCTGTAATAGAATAAATACGCGCAATTATTACAGGGTAATCAACGCAAAAAAACGATATAAATAAAGAATTAACGGTATAAATAACGCTCTAGTTTTATCCAAAATTAGCCAAATTGATACTTTTTAATTTAAAAACTCAGTTTCACCAAAACAGTCGCATGTGTAAAATTGTTTTTAAAAAGTTGAGACCACAGTACTTTCATCAATATCTTTCAAATAGCATAGAATAGAAAGTCTCGCCAATAATGGTTTGTAAAAAACCGAAAAAGGACTGAAAAAAAAAACACAAAACATAAATATTTCCTCACTTTCTCAGACAGTTTTTAACATTAGCCAAGCCTTATAGCGGATGATTTTCTTGTCAAAAAAATATTAATTTTAACTAAATGTGGCTTCTGCATTAATCAATTATGGCTCAACGTGAAACTTTCCAATACATTTTTTGAAACAACCTTTCCCATACACCATGTCAAAAGAAATGTAACTTATTTTTCATCTAGTAAACGTTTTTTTTGGAATAATTATTATACCTCATTTCCCTCAGGAGTGACTTCTGAAACAGGTCAAATCAGTGCATCCGCTACCGATTTTTAGAAAATTAGCACGATTGACTGACGTCGTTCTACTAGGTTCTCTGATTACTGCTATATGTTTACCTTAAAACTATAGACGTTTGTTTTTACCAGGCGACAGAGCAACAAAGTATTCAAAAAAGTTGGGAGAAGAAGGAGAATGCAAAAAACTTTCGCACTCTGAAAACCGTAAGTATTTTCTTTGATATCCAGGCCAACAATTTGTCATTTTTATATAGTTAAATAGGAGCACCAGCTGGTGCTGAGCAAGTTCAAGTATCGCAGAAAAGTAAAAAGACGCTATATAAATTTGAAAAAATATATAAAAAGAAAATTTTACATTGGAATTTTTTTCTCTCAAAAGTCTCACAGGCGGATAGAAGGAATAAACTGATTTTAATATCCCAAGTAAACTAAAATGTGTAATTCCAGTAAAGTTTTTGCTATCGTTAAATGTGCACAGTTAAATGTTTCCCATGTCCAGCTATGCTTTAGTTCCTTCCGACTTTTTGAGAGGCTGTAAAAAACGGAAACGAAGCGAGTTTAATTGGTTCGACGTCTCAGCGTCGATCAACTCTACTTGATAAAGTTTGATTAGTTTTGCGTTTAGCAAGAGTATTGCAATAGGATATCAGTCTTTTTTCCTGTTAAAATCTTTTTGCTCTTAACTTAACAATGTTTAATTAATGTATCAACCTTCATCTAATAATTTTGAATGATTGGTGTAGAATTAATGCACATTATCGGGCAAACATTGCCCGGCAACTATTTTTTGTCTGCTTATGTTATGCCGCGTACTTTCTCAATTTTAATTTTTTTGTGATTTGAGCAATTTTACTGTAACAGAAGATCAATTTTATTTTTTCCTGCAAATTGAAAATTTACCAGCTCTGATTTGGTATAATTCCTGTATTAATCATTTGTTTGGTTCTTGCCATTTTTTTTGCACAGGTGGTTTCTATTACTTTATTTTAATGTCACTGCTAATTTTTGCGTCGTCTGAAAGATTAAAACATACTTTTAATTTTGTGTGAGAATAAGAGAAAGAAAGTTTAAAATTTCGAGCTTCAGGCAAATTTCGAGCTTCGAGCTTCAGCTTCAAATTTGTGAAAAGCTCCAGGCATATAAACATTCAAGGCTTTTCGGATACGAGCAGCCTTGTTGTTCCGACTTTCGATACGAAAGTAACGGAATATTTGTGCTCGGGGTGGGTTTTTTTTTCTTCAGACAAATTTCGACTTTTTAACTAGCCATTTTTGACGAAATTTTTTTTATATCATTCGAAAGGAATTGTTGTCCTGAGCTCAAATTTGAAAAGATATTTCACCTGGAATCATTTTTCGTAAAGTTACAGGGGTTTAAAGATTGCCATTTTGGCCAATTTGGGACAATTAACGCGCGATGTATTTCGCGCTAGTAATGCGTAAGCGGAGAGGTAATCCGTCGTAGAAATCGTTCCAAATTGGTTAAAAGAAGCTTATTTGCCATAATTGGTTCGTAGCAAGGAGCGAAAACTATCCTTTTATAGTTTATATGGCGTGTGGGGGATGATTTTCATAAAAAATTTCAAATTTTGGAAATTTTTTTTTTTTCATTTTGTTTTATTTCATTGAATTTTTGAATGTTATTACTGCTCCATAAATCTTAAAAGACAGTCGGAACATACAGGGCTTCGCCCTGATACGAGCAGTCTTGTTTTGCTTTATAACCACTTGGTAAATTTTGTCTATTTGGTAGTTTAAAAGTCACAAATTTGCTGTTTGACATATTTTTCTCACATGGATTTCAATTCGAGACAAACTTTGGTTCCTCAATTCGTTCAAATTGACTTGATAAACGAATCAAAGTGAATTGAGGGCGTATTTATCACATTTACTCAGTTCAGTAAAAAATATTTCACAGGGGAGAATATCGGTGAGAACTTATATGCGACTAGTCAGGGAGACCAAGGGGGCGAAGCGATAGCAAAGATGGCCGTTGAGGCTTGGTACTCTGAAACCAAGTTCTTTTCCTACCCTGGAGATGATAGTTACGACACGTGCGACGGAGGAGATAAATTTTCAGAATATGGTCACCTTACACAGGTGTGTTGCTTTTCTTACTTTGGGTAAAGTTTCCCCAGAAAAAATTGATAGTTTCATTTATTTAGTTTAATCATTTTGGGATAGTTTTGGCTAAAAAGTTGTGGTTGTTCGTGCGCGCTCCTTCCTCAAGCTATTAAGTAACGTGTACTAGTTTCAAATATTTTTTAAGCTTAGTTTGTCAAAAAGGGTTTTGTATTAAAATGCTTTCAAAGGGGACGACTCGGTAACTTCGACAGCGACCTTTGAACAATTTGTTATTAATGCTCAAGTTTACCCATTCTTCTTTTAGTAAAAGCACTAATTCATTAAAATCATTGAACGTGCATTTTTTAGGAGTTTGCATTGGGCAAACGCTCGTCTCTCAAAATTAATAGAAACAATTTAATTTACTTAAATTAATTTTAAAAAATTAATTGCTTAAGAGATATCTTTTTCTTTAATATTTACTTCGCAATAAAAGTGTGATAGGAAAAATTTTTATACTACTTGAACAACGAGTCTTGCTTACAACTATTTCTGTTTTATTTACTTTTTGAGGAAAAGGTCAACTTTTCTTTAATGTCAAATTTTTTTCTTCGTTTAATCGTTTCGGCTATTGGCGACGTGATTAGTTTTAAGATGATGTGGCAGAAAAGTGGAGAACTTGGCTGCGCAGAATATGTCTGCCCAGATAGTGGTTGGGCCATTTTTACCTGCAACTATTCCCCGGCTGGCAACACGCAGGGGGAGAAAATGTTTCCTGAGTCCAACTTCAAGAAGTTATGCGAGGCCGAACCGGGAGTGTGGACCACTTGCAAAGAGTCAGTGTTTTGTAGTATCTCGGTATTTTACAGTTAATTGTTAATTGGGCCAACTTCGAATAAAGTGACGGAGTATACGTGCTCGGGACAGTTTTATCCCAGACGAAATTCGACTTTTTATTAACAATTTTCCATCAAAATTTTTTATTCAGTCTTATCTCAAAATTAGAGCAACATTTCACCGACAATCTTTTTTTCACCAATTTTACCCAGGTTTGAAAAAAAAAATCAAATTGAATAGATGCAAAATTATTTTTCAATTTACTAATTTTCATTGAAACGATCGTTTCAGGAACCTTGTCACAGAGGGCTGTAAAATGGGCCGAGGCCAGATGACGGATGGTACGTTGATTTAATCCGAACTTACACGAATAAAAAAATTGACCTTTCGAAGGCGGGGATCATAAATTGAGGCGAGTAAAGGATTTCTAGAATGAGCGCATTTTCAAAAAAATTGCATTTTTTTGTGACACGCAAATGAATAAAAAAACTTCTTTGTTCGATCACAATACACAAAGTTGCGTTAGATTTAGAAAACTTCTAACTTGTAATGTAGTTCGTTACTACTTCGTGAATATGTATTTTTAACTACTTTAAGTTGAAATTTTTTTGGTTGTTCGAGGTAGTTCTTTTAATGGTAGTTTTCACGGTTTCAAGGTTAATTTCCAGGAACTTAAGCAAAAAAAACTCACAAATGAAATGATTTTTTTCTCGTTTCATCTCAGTAGTTTTTTTCAGGAAAAAAATGGATAAAAAAGATTAATTTTAAGAATTTTTGATATCTTTGATACTTATGTGACCTTAGTAGTATGCAAATAGTGCGTTAGGATCGGGGGGGGGGGGGGGTTGTCATACCTGGATGACCATTAGGTATAAATCATAATGGTCACCATGTATTAAATGATCAGCAATGGTCACCATGTAATAATCCTAATTGTCACCATGTATAATTTTATAACTAATGGTCACTATGTAATAATCCTAATTGTCACCATGAATAATTTTATACCTAATAGTCCTCATGTAAAACTTCGGTATATTAATGAGTATTCCCACTGAACGTTGTGGAAACGGGAATGGAATTAAGTTTTGGTCGGTGCATGTTTTCCCTTCTAAAGTTTGAGGGTATTGGCTTGTTTACATGTAAAATGACCTTATATACCTATTATATGCGACCAAACTATATAGTATATAGGAAAGCACAAGATTTTGGCAGCGTAGCTTAACTGTTGGCTGCGGTGAACGATTTCCTTCAAAAATGCATGTTTTATTGCTGAATCTCGAAGAAAGCAAAATTTGTCAAGTGCGGCGGCCGCCACCTCTATTTAGGCAAAAATTATTAATCAATTTGACCGAAATAAGAATGACAAATTTCAGCCAAATGAAGGTAAAAACAAAGTTCAGCCAAATGAAGGTAAAAACAAAGAAAAATTACGTAACACTGAAAACTCTAAAATAAGGAAATTGGCTTAAAAGTTTCGACATTTCCATTTTCCGTGTCTACAGGAGACTGAAAAAAGGTCTAAAATTTATGACAAAAGCTTTGATTTTATAGAAAGGTTGAAAGAGCTAATAAGTTGAAGTGGGTAAAGATCTGGAAAAACGAGAACACTGATGAAAGCCAAAAGTGCCCATTAATTTTGCTGCAGCCATTTCTAAGACTTGCATATACCACTTTTTATAATAAAAAGGAAACAATTTTTGGGGCTTCTAGAAAACGTTTAGTATTTCCTATTAACTTTTTTGTGCTAACAGAAATTGTGAAAATATTCATCAGAGCGGACCTAGAAACTTGGGGAAAACTGTTATTTGTGTGCCAATATATACGACAGAACAGAGTGACCATCGAATCAAGCAGGTGAAAACTTATTTGCGACTTTTAAGGAAAGCAGTTATTCAAATTAGAGCAAATTCAATCGGGAAAGACTGAACACAAACTAAGACAAGTTATGGATACAAACTCAAAGCTTGATATGAATTCAGAGTTATAATTTGAGCATCCAAAATTTTTGATTTTTCCATTAAAAGAATATGCAATTAAATAATTTTTAATTTGATACTACAATCTAGTCAACTGTTCTCACTAACTTCTAATTTACTCAATTTGGCTTTAGAAAGAGCTTTCTATTCAAAAGTTTGAAGCGCTATCAGTTATTATCATTGATTAACCTTCTGCTCAACAAGTCAAATTTTGAGTTTTTAAATATAAATCTGATCTTTTGAATGTTTCCATGATTACGCTATTGTCTCTCAAAATACGGTGGATTTTTGACCAAAATATTCGATTATTCATCTGCAACTAATTGTGTTATCAAGAGTTCAACCTTTCTTTCAATATATGCTTGAGGTGATCACTACTAGCAGTATCAAAACAGTTCGCATCATGAAATTTCTTCTCATTTTTGCATCGATATTTGTCTTCTCTATTAACAAAACATGTCTTCGAAAAACGGTTAGTTGTTTGAAATTTTAAGATAAAAAATCAAGCCTTATCATCAACACTCTACCTGAATCTTCGGATTCCGTCAGGATGATAGCTGTTTCACACTAAACAACGCTTTCACACCAATTTGGCTACAGCAGTTTCCGAAAACTTGTAAGTGCCATTTTGTAGTTTCAATGCATTTCGATAAACGTCAATTATGTTGTGTTATCTTAAGCTAGAACGACTAACAAAGACATGTTTAATTTGACAATAAAAAGTTTGTTAGACAGTTTTACTTTGAGGAATTAAAATTTTGAGCCTCAATGCAGAAAGACTTGCTATTCATTTCAAAGAAAAAAGGCGTAAGCATTTTGTGCTATTTCATAAAAAGCTCTATCGACTAAATAAATCTTGAATTTAAAAAAGTGGTACTGACTTTTTATCTGATTACACAATTGCTTCACTTCTGTGGGTTTATAACTTTGATTCAAAATTATGATTTTTCAAATGAAACCCATTGAAAATTTGTGGTTTTTAGAGATTGATCAATCATCCTTCAAATATACAGTACCTGTCACTGAGACTTTGCTCGCTTACCGTCTTCAGCTCTACCAGCCGCATGTCTGCACGATCAATGATTTTCCTCAAAAAACCATAAATTTTTTCTAATAAGTTTCTTATCGTAACATCTATGAGTAACAGTTCATCAAACACTTTGAACTCCATGCTGTCTCCAATTGGACTTGTTGTTTGATGCTTCCATCGACAAAATTTTGTGAAAACTTGAAAACTGATCTTTCTTGTTACAATTTTGAAATATTTTTCATAATCATTGACTGCAGATAAATAGAAATTATCAATGCAACAAATGCAACTTTTTCAAAGTGAAATGTTCATAATGAGGATACCTGGAAGATCAAATATTTCACGGAAAACTTTTTTAAAAAATTATCAAATTGTTTTGCAAATCAAGAAAATGAAAAAAAACTGTCATTATAGTGTCTGGTTGATTATTCTAGAATATTCGAGAAACTTAAGAAGAAAGATAAGAAAGATTTGGATTGAGTTACATATATACTTTTATATGAAATAAAATAAACGATTACAATTAAACTCAAACATATATACCCCACCAAACATATAAAGCTGCATACTTGTAAAGATAAAAAACATAAACACATTTTCATAGGTTGCAAACTTAAATGCATACTCACAAAAAACAGTCATGCGTGTTTTTTTAAAAACATACGTTTATTCATACACAATTAAATACTTATATAAGGTTAATAATGCAAACTTATATTCAAAAACAATAACGTACACACTTACTGAATACAAACATACATACATGTATACATAAGTACAAATTTACATAAACACATACATACATGCATACATAGATACATACATACAAACTTACATGTATACATACATATATAAAGTTACTTAGAGACATTCATACAACCATACGTACAAAATTACATACATATATGCAAAAATACTTCTAAACATACAAACATTCACAAAAGAAGTCTTACATAAAGGTATGAATACAAACGTACATAGTTTTATACATAAGAAGAAGGCAAATAAACTACCATACAAACATAAATTTTTCATACTTGCTTACATGCTTTTAAACCTGCAACCAATTATACAAAAACTTTGCTTTTACACATGCAAAGAGTTTGACTTAATATTTCTGCTGACCTTTACAATAGAACCACATTTAAACACACAAACCAGCTTAATTTCACTTCACACTTTCAAGACGAATATATACACACATTCAGAAAAAAAGAGTCAGGCATTAGAGACTGGCATTCATAAGTCTTTACATACAATCATATAAACGTGCCTTTCTTACTCATATACGAAAATGCATAAGTACTTACCTACAAACAGACATGGTTCGTACTATACAAGCATGCTACGACTCATGTGTACACACTTTCCTTTTAAACAGGCATGAAACTTCAATCATAAGTTTGTACAATTTGAAAACAAGCAAATTTTAAAATATTTTTAAACTGAAAAATATACATTGATACAAAATAATTGCTGGTCTTCATTCACTCAATCAAGCGGACATGCATTCAAGATTTCTTACTTTCATAAAAACATACAAATATACATTTGAAAACATACAAACTTCTAAATACTCAAATGAATACACACAAATAGTATATGCATACTTGATTAAGTACATTTATACGTGCAAAAAATTGTACACTTTTACATAGATACATACAGTTTACATAAATAGACACACACGCAAGTTTTGCTTACATACATGCAAAAATTTCACTTATTAGGTCTGCTGACCTTTAAAATACAAGCACATGTAAACACACAAACCAACTTGCATTCACTTCACACTTTCAAGACAAATTTATACACACATTCAGACAAATAGAATCACGCATTACAGACTGGCATTCATATGTCTTTACATAAAATCATATAAACGTGCCTTTCATACTCATATACGAATATGTATAAGTACTTGCCTACAAAAAGACATGGAATGTACTTTACAAGCATGCAACTACTCACGTGTACACACTTTCCGTTTCAACAGACATAAAACTTCAATCATAAGTTTGTACAATTTGCAAACCAGCTAACTTTTAAAAGCTTTGAAACTGAAAAACATACATTGATACAAAATAATTGCTGGTCTTCATTCACTCAATCAAGCGGACTGGCATTCGAGAATTCTTATTTACATAAAAACATACAAATATACATAACTTCTAAATACTCAAATGAATACACACAAATAGTATGTGCATACATGATTAATTACATTTATACATGCAAAAAAATGTACACTTTTTCATAGATACATACAGTTTACATAAATAGACACACACGCAAGTTTTGTTTACTTACATGCAAAGATTTTACTTATTAG